TTGGTCCAAAATGTGATTTCCCTATATAAACTATAGTAAAGTTTACCCCCTCCCCAGGGGGAAACGTGAGACCCCAGGGTCATGAAATTCACAATTTTGGTAAAGCACCTTAAGACCCTTCCATCTATGAAGAGTATTTGATTCTACCATATCTGGGTCTTGAGAAGAAGATTTTTGAAATTTTAGTCAATTTGACCCTTTTTGGCCCCGCCCCTCAGGGGGCGGGGGACCAAACCGGCGACTTATTTTGTTGACCTTTGGCAATGGAAGGTTTCTGCAAAATTTCCTTGAAATTGGTTCAGGGGTTTTGGAGAAGAAGTCGAAAATGTAGACGGACAAAAGGCGATCGCAATAGGTCTCAGGTGACCTAAAAACGTTATAACTAGGGGAACAGGCCTGTTTCGGGCTGTAAAAGTAGGCAACTTTTTATCAATTTCGAAGAAATTTGATAGCACAGAGATTCCTAAGGTATCTTTCCAAATCAGGTCGGTTGTTAGGGGCGTTTCTAGGATATTTGAAAGAGGGGGACATTTTTTGGACCTTTTTTTTTGCTAAAAACATAAAATCATTGTGAAATGCACTAATGTAACGGTTCCTGACTTGGAGCATGTATATTTTACAGTTAAAGTGTCAGGGTGTTTATGTGTTTAATTAATGAATATGATAAATTGACATATTCAATACAGTATTAGCAGATTACGGCTACCAATAATTCCGCCAGCTATACTATAACGGAAGGTTTACAATCAATACTCTCCATTGTACTACGGGCTACACATCTCGTGAAAATTAATATTCCTCGTTGTTCGCTTTAAAATCGGAAACGGTCATCAGGTATATCCAGTGGACCTGCACTGGTTTCCAGTAGGCTCGGAACTTGAGAAGTGTATAAGTATATCCTACACCACACGTGGTTTATGACCTTCCAGAGTTTTGATTGGTCGAGAAGATGAAATTTGACCGGGACGACGTTTTCCACGCGCTTTTTGCCACATGCTGTTTTATTTCCGTCGTCTGATAGCTGTCAACAGCCGGCAAATGTTGGTGACTTTGTGAGGATTAAGGCAATATTAAAAGAAGATGACACTTGAAGATGCTACAAACGCTCGATATCGTTTCGACGTCACACCGTCGCGTGTCCAGGTCGTGAAACCAAAACATGATCTGTCAGTGTCGGAAAATAGTTCGTTCTCCCAACGTTCCGTTATCGCTATTTGGAGGGTCTGACTATGGCTGAACTTTCACTATGTACGTCAACCATAGAACCGTCACGAAGAAACGTCCCAGGCCTATTGTTTTGGACATTGACTGCGATTAGTTCGTCTGCATCACTTGGCGGGAGGCAGACTTCGTACGCGCATATAGTCTGCGGTTAATTTATATAAATTAATGCAATACTGCATACTCTCAATACTTATTTATTTTGACAATTATTAAATTTGTAAAAAAACACGTCAATATTAATGAGTGACTTTGTACATATATGGTATAATATCACTACGCCAGCCTTGTCAACAAACGCATGTGTGTATGATATTCAAATCAGGTCACACTCCAGTTGTTTCTGACTGAGATTGTGGTAGAAACAGATCACACGACTCGTGGTTGTTAAGTATAGTATTTATTTCACTCTCATGAGTTAATTTTCAAAAGTTAGAGAAAGACACTCGCTAAAGCTCGTGTCTTTTGTAACTTTTGAAAATTAACTTACTCAGTGAAATAAATGCCATATTCAACAACCACTGATCGTTGTGTAACCTCTATTTACCTTGTTGGCTGTGTAACGTAATTACCTTACGATTCGTCAATACATGAGTACAACGTATACGCATGCATCGAGGTTGCGTGCCTATCAGTGAGTGTATTTAATGTATTGGATTTATCGACCTCCACATATGCGTCTAAATTTAGTATAGAGCTGCGTGAACAATGTCGTCATGAATATGAGTTATAAATAGATCCGCTGTTATTTACTTAGTGCTGTATTAATTACCGTACGTGACTGTATATGTATACACGTGTAGGTAAAGAAATAAGTATGAACTTTGAAGTAGGGTCAGCTTTCGACGTAACGTACGTTTGTTATATGTCTGTCTGGGGATATATAAAGCCTTTTGGAATTTTTTTTTACACATCACGGATAATTGTGTTCCGAACCATTAGACTGGAGGAAATGTGGTTCCTATCACGTGCTAGACACATGTGTCCCCCTAATCACGAGTTTGGTCGGACCACAGTTGTTCGTTTATTAAATAAGGTCGGACCTAGTCACCTGATGCTGCTTATCCGAAATTGTTACATTTAAAAACGGACAAACCGGTTCAAGCATAAACGAACAGGCCCCATATCTTTTGATGAGAGACACCACGTGCTCAACGTCACTAATATTACTATATCATTTTCAGAAACTATGACTGAATGGCCGATCTAAACACAGACTCGGAGGGGAGACACCCGAGGATGTCCATCGAATCTGGATCATCTCCCAAGGGAACGGCGCATCCGGATGGGAATACCGGAAGTGACCATATATCTGACGTCAAGCTGGTTGACGGCGGCTATGGATGGGTGATCGTTGGCGCAAGCTTCTTTAATCTGTTCTGCTTGGATGGACTCATAGGAATATATGGCCTTTTGTATCCGGAACTTCTTATTAACTTTGGAGCGGAACCCGCTGTCACAGCTCTTCCCGGTTCCCTCATGGTCGGCATGTGTTGCTTCATAGGTAAGTGTCCGCCATAGTGACGTCACGTAAAGTTATCAAGTACGTAATAAAAGTTGTTTTTGTGTAGCTGTTATCCGGATTAATGAGGTTCAATGTGTAAATATTGTTCCAGGTCCCGTCTGTAGTGAGTTGATCCGGAGGTTTGGAGCCCGTCAGGTTACAGTATTCGGAGCATGTGTTACTTGCGTAGGACTCTTATGTAGCTTCGCCTCTCAATCCATGACAGTCTTCCTCTTTACGCACGGGATCCTTACAGGTATGGTCTGGTTTGATTTTTAGCTCACCTGGCCCTAAGTGAACTTATGCCATGGTGCGGCGTCCGGCGTCCGGCGTCAACTTTTTACTTTGCACAACTTCTTCTGAACAACCAATAAGAGGCCTGGGGTAATGATATTTGGCCAGAAACATGCTTGGATGAGGGGCTACAAAGTGTGTTCAAATAAGTTACCTTGACTTATAATCAAGGTCATAGGGGTCAAATATGGTACAATCTTCAAACAACTTCTTCTAAATAACCAAGAGTCCTAGGGTGATGATATTTGGACAGAAACATAATAGGATCAAGGGCTACCAAGCTTGTTCAAATGAATGACCTTTACTTATATTCAAGGTCACAGTGATCAGAAATGTTTAACACCTTTAAACAACTTCTTCTGAATAAGTAACCAAGAGGCCTAGGATAATGATATTTGGCCAGTAGCATGCTGGGATAAAGGGCTACCAAGTTTGTTTAAATGAATGACCTTGACATATATTCAAAGTCACAGGGGTCAAATATGCTTAAAAGATTTAAACAACTTCTTCTGAATAACCGAGAGGCCAAGTGTGTTTATATTTGGCCAGAAACATGCTTGGATGAAAGGCTACAACGTTTGTTCAAATAAATTACCTTGACTTATAATCAAGGTCACAGGGGTCAAATATGTTAAAGTCTTTATACAACTTCCTTTGAATAACCGAGAGGCTTAGGTTTATGATACTTGGCCAGTAACCTGCTCGGATGAAGGGCTACAAAGTTTGTTGAAATAAATGATGTTGACTTATATTCAAGGTCACAGGGGTCAAATATGCTTAAAAGATTTAAACAACTTCTTCTGAATAACCGAGAGGCTTAGGTTTATGATACTTGGCCAGTAACCTGCTCGGATGAAGGGCTACAAAGTTTGTTCAAATAAATGATGTTGACTTATATTCAAGGTCACAGGGGTCAAATATGCTTAAAAGATTTAAACAACTTCTTCTGAATAACCGAGAGGCTTAGGTTTATGATACTTGGCCAGTAACCTGCTCGGAGGAAGGGCTACAAAGTTTGTTCAAATAAATGATCTTGACTGATAATCAAGGTCACAGGGGTCAAATATGTTGAAGTCTTTATACAACTTCTTCTGAATAATCGAGAGGCTTAGGGTTATGATATTTGGCCAGTAATATGCTGGGATGAAGGGCTACGAAGTTTGTTCAAACAAATGATTTCATCCATTTTCAAGGTCACATGGGTCAAATATGTTAAAATATTCAAACAACTTCTTCTGGAAAACAAAGAGTCATAGGGTGATGATATTTAGACAGGAACATGCTAGGATGAAAGGCTAACAAGTTTGTTCAAATGAATGACCTTTACTTATATTCAAGGTCACAGTGGCCAGAAATCTATAAAACCTTTAAACAACTTCTTCTGAATAACCAAGAGGCCTAGGATAATGATGTTTGGCAAGTAGCATGCTGGGATGAAGGGCTTACAAGTTTGTTCTAATGAATGACCATGACAAATATTCAAAGTCACAGGGGTCAAATATGCTTAAAAGATTTAAACAACTTCTTCTGAATAACCGAGAGGCCTAGGATAATGATATTTGGCCAGTAACATGCTGGGATGAAGGGCTACCAAGTTTGTTCAAATGAATTCTTGTGATAGCGTTGATCTGATATACTGCATAGAAAATGTTTCCTCACTGAATTACCATGCCGTAGGCACTCATCACAGCATTCCATGTGTTGCAATTACCCTTAATGCCAAATGCTTCGCAAAGAATAGAAACTACCATGTTTAAGGACTTCGTTAGGCCTCTACCTGGGGACAGCACCTATTGACTTCATCACTTGCGCAAGCGTTAAACACTCAGACCAAATGTGAGGTATTGCCAAGTAGCAAAAATGTTTTTAGGAAGTAGAGAGAAATAAGTAGTATTCCAAATGTTGCAATGGGTGCAGCAGATTAATTTGGCCGCTTCTGTGTCCTCAAATATGGGACTCCAAAGAAAATCGCTCATTCTGCAAGGGGTTCCCACATTAGCTGTATCGTACAAGTCATTCGTTCTTACTAGTAGGGATATAGCATGGAGGTAGACATAAGGTGGAGTACAATTATCTTGAAGGTATCACAAACTTCAAATATAGACCCGAGTTTATGAGGTAGTTGTTATTATCGTTTAAGTAGATAGTGATGTATATTTGGAGGCACGGTAGTCCAGCGGTAGGACGCCGGACTCGTGGACGAAGGGTTGCGGGTTCGAGTCGTTTCACGGCACTGTGTTGTATCTTTGAAAAAGATACTTTACTCCGCTTGTTCCAGTCTACTCAGCTGTAAATGAGTATGAAGTTGGGCAGTGCTGTAATCGTTGAATGCTAGCTGTGAGCGCCGAAATGGCAGCACCGGCTGTATGCTCCCCTGGGAGTTGAGAAAGATATTGTCTGGTTGCAAAGGCCATATAAACACGGATAATAATTTGTGAACCGCGCTTTGAGACGACCTATGACTAGGTTATGATTAAGTGATATATAGGAATCTCAAATTATTAATATTATTATTATCATGTCAAGGCAGAGTTGTAAAAATGAATGTAGAAATAGTTTTTGAGGTCGATTATCACCCTGAATTATAGGAAACGTAATACATATTTCAATGGTAGTTTATATGCAAATATATGTGGACTAAATTCTGATTATGTTTTTTAAAAATCTTAATGGTTAAGTGTTTACCTTCCAGGAATTGGATGTGGGCTGTACTTTCTGCCGTCAATGACTTTGGTTAATACGTATTTTGACAGGAAGCGTGGTATTGCGCAAGGCATAATTTCTGCAGGAAGTGGATTAGGTGTCGTCGTTTTATCGCCAGTAACAAATATTCTGATGGACTATTACGGTTGGAAAGCTTCTATTTTATTGTGGGCGGGGTTCGTTTTAAATATATGTGTTTCCGGACTGCTGATGCGACCGCCTCCTCAGTCTACAAAGGGAGGTAATCATAGATGTGCCGGTACAATCAAACTAGACAGAGAAGCACACGACGAGTCTTCTATTTCATATAAACAACATGAAGATCATTTGTGGTCGTCTTTATCTCTGCAGGAAAATAGAGAGATTCAAAATAGTAATGTGAAAAATGGAAAAGTACAAAATGGAAGGGTTCCAAATAGGTTTGTTTACGTTGGGAACACTGAACATTCAAGTACGCGCAGCCTTCCGCACCGTCACATAGACAGGCATGATGTTTCAAAGGAACAACTCGGTCTTTATCGATCTCTTCAGTGTGTTCATCAACCAAAACATAAGCGGCACAAACATCTGCCTGCGAATAAACGTAGCATCTTTGATAGGAAGGACATCTTCCTCACCGGAAGTACAAATATATTGAGGACATACTCTTCCCACAGATCTGTTCACTCAAAACATGTTGAGGAGATGGAACATACATACGCTACTAGTGATGATACCTCGTCATACATGACGTCAGACAGTGGAGGAAGTCTCTGGTGTAAAGGTACATGTAAACCGTTTATGAAGGACCCTGCCTTTCTGCTCCTTGTCGCGGGCTCGGCTCTCGCTCAGATGGCACAGCACATTCCAATGACGTTCCTGGCCGATTACAGCTATTTCATTGGACTGGAAGGCCGGGACATCGCTACACTCTTCGTCATTTTCGGTAAGTGTATGGTATTATAATCCGATTGGCTGGTTTGCTTTAGCAGATTGACAAGTAAACAAAAGGTTAATTAAAACAATACAACATGGTAGTTGGTCAATAGTTGATCGAAAAAATAAGACACACTGTATAGTACAAAGTAGTAGAAATTGATGGGAATAAAAATATATTAAAGAAATCTTGTAAAGACCCAGTTTCCGTTGTATGGTTTTCTGTTTTCTTCGAAGTAAGGCACGCCAGATATATCGACATGTATCAACGTTCCCATCCTCGAAATCCACTTATTCCGCTATCGATACACGTCTTATCTTGACCCCTGGAATATGTCATGGCTCTTCACGCGACAACTTGTGGATGACGATCACAAGAATCGCGCTGGAGCGTAACGGTAAAATCGGCAAGCTTTGAAGTTTGGTGTGGCTCCACGGTGATTTTTAGATGACAGGTATCAACTTTATGGCTATTCAGATTATTAATGCCTGAAACCAATCAAGTAGCTTACCGCGAACCTTAAATTTCGTCATGACACATTTCAGGGGTGCAGAGAAGATGCGTGTGTCGACAACGAAACACTTTGGTTTCGAGGATGCCGCTTTCTAATGTCACAACTTGCGACCTTACATCTTTCTTTACTTTGTCGTTTTGGTTGTGTCTCCTTCGGGTCTGTAATCCCGTGGTCAGTGTAATATGTAGCCACTTGAGGCGTCATACTAGTACGCATCCGTAGTCTTGACGTTTCAGCGTGGTAACACCATAAAACATGCCTTGAGTAGTGGCCAGATGAGCAGTTTACCTGTACATGGGTGCTGTCTGTCGCCTTTTCAGTAAAATCTTAAACAAAAATCAATCATAAGGTGGACGTACAACGTATAAAACAGCTACTAGAATACATTTGATAACATTGAGTGAAATTATCGCTTGTCCTCGTCCCATGTCCACCCCTATGTTTGCTTGTGAATTAATGACAAATATAAATCAGGGCCTAGAAATTTAAAGTCTAGTTACATACAGATATGCGCAATTCAGTTTTTAACTTCAATGTTACACGGAATTTTGGCTTTATACTTCCATTTTTGACCAAAAAAAACCCTGAGCTAATCAGGCATTGCTTCTGTTCAGGTGTGTTCAACATGGCAGGAAGACTTGCGGGCGGATTGTTGGCCTCTATAAGGATGTTCAGTCCGCTGTTTGTCTGTAACTTCGGCAACGCCGTCTGCGCTCTAGCCTGTTTCCTGTTCTGGCTGTGTACGACTTTTGAGTCATTGGCAGTTTTCATTGGAGTCTATGCTTTCTTCGTTGGTAAGTGTCGCACCATTGCGTGTCTCCCCCGTGATTCAACACTATCCCAGGGATCAATGCAGTTCTCCCCCGTGATTCAACACTATCCCAGGGATCAATGCGTTTCTCCCCCGTGATTCAACACTATCCCAGTGTTCAATGCGTTTCTCCCCCGTGATTCAACACTATTCCAGTGTTCAATGCGTTTCTCCCCCGTGATTCAACACTATCCCAGGGATCAATGCCTTTCTCCCCCGTGATTCAACACTATTCCAGTGTTCAATGCGGTTCTCCCCCGTGATTCAACATTATCCCAGGGATCAATGCGTTTCTCCCCCGCGATTCAACACTATCCCAGGGATCAATGCGGTTCTCCCCCGTGATTCAACACTATCCCCGGGATCAATGCGTTTCTCCCCCGTGATTCAACATTATCCCAGGGATCAATGCCTTTCTCCCCCGTGATTCAACACTATCCCAGCGTTCAATGCGTTTCTCCCCCATGATTCAACACTATCCCAGGGATCAATGCATTTCTCCCCCGTGATTCAACACTATCCAAGGGATCAATGCGTTTCTCCCCCGTGATTAAACACTATCCCAGGGATCAATGCGTTTCTTCCCCGTGATTCAACACTATCCCAGGGATCAATGCATTTCTCCCCCGTGATTCAACACTATCCCAGGAATCAATGCGTTTCTCTCCCGTGATTCAACACTATCCCAGGGATCAATGAGTTTCTCCCCCGTGATTCAACACTATCCCCGGGATCAATGCGTTTCTCCCCCGTGATTCAACTCTATCCCTGGGATCAATGCGTTTCTCCCCCGTGATTCAACGCTATCCCAGGGATCAATGCGTTTCTCCCCCGCGATTCAACACTATCCCAGGGATCAATGCGTGTCTCCCCCGTGATTCAACACTATCCCAGGAATCAATGCGTTTCTCTCCCGTGATTCAACACTATCCCAGGGATCAATGAGTTTCTCCCCCGTGATTCAACACTATCCCCGGGATCAATGCGTTTCTCCCCCGTGATTCAACATTATCCCAGGGATCAATGCCTTTCTCCCCCGTGATTCAACACTATTCCAGGGATCAATGCAGTTCTCCCCCATGATTCAACACTATCCCAGGGATCAATGCGTTTCACCCCCGTGATTCAACACTATTCCAGGGTTCAATGCGTTTCTCCCCCGTGATTCAACATTATCCCAGGGATCAATGCGTTTCTCCCCCATGATTCAACACTATCCCAGGGATCAATGCATTTCTCCCCCGTGATTCAACACTATCCAAGGGATCAATGCGTTTCTCCCCCGTGATTCAACATTATCCCAGGGATCAATGCGTTTCTCCCCCGCGATTCAACACTATCCCAGGGATCAATGCGGTTCTCCCCCGTGATTCAACACTATCCCCGGGATCAATGCGTTTCTCCCCCGTGATTCAACTCTATCCCTGGGATCAATGCGTTTCTCCCCCGTGATTCAACTCTATCCCTGGGATCAATGCGTTTCTCCCCCGTGATTCAACTCTATCCCTGGGATCAATGCGTTTCTCCCCCGTGATTCAACATTATCCCAGGGATCAATGCGTTTCTCCCCCGTGATTAAACACTATCCCAGGGATCAATGCGTTTCTTCCCCGTGATTCAACACTATCCCAGGGATCAATGCAGTTTTCCCCCGTGATTCAACACTATCCCAGGGATCAATGCGTGTCTCCCCCGTGATTCAACACTATCCCAGGGATCAATGCGTTACATACTCTCCCATTATTCAACACATCATATCCCATGCTTCAATGTGATGCTCTCTTAATTCGATGGCTTTCACAAGGTTCAATTCCGTGCTTAACGAGATAAAATCACAGGGTTCTATATGGTTCAGTGTGATAATCTCTAATATTGAGGTCGGTGATTTAAAACATCTTATCTCACGGGGTTAAATTCACATAAACTGCCATTGTTTATCTGTTTGTTTGTTTACGTTTAACGGCCTATCGACGGCTGTGGTCATTTAGGGCCATGGTGATTTTTTTATTTTTTATTTTTTTAACAAACATGTGAGAAGCGAAGATAAAATCAGATAAAATGGTTCATTTTAAAAGCATTCGCATTGTATGTGTAGATAATAAAAAATAAAAAAGGGGGTTAAAATAATAAAAGAGATAACGAATAGATGATATGGAATATGCGATATATATATAACGTCAAAAATGGTAAGATGGGTTAAAAGACATCAGAGTCTATAAAATAGACCGATGTCTTTCAAATAGTAAAATAATGCCTTCGAATCCACGGAACTGAAAAGTGTTTTCATATCCGGGACTCGGAAGTAGTTATCACGAATGTGTTTAAAATCGGAACATTCTATTAAAAAATGTTCCACAGTAAATGGAGTGTCACATGCGTGGCATGAAGTTATGTCCTCTCGTTTTAAAAGGTACGAATGAGTAGATATGTGTGCCCAGTGCGGAGCCGAGCGAGGACAACTTCCTCTCTACGATCTTTCCGACTGGGAATAGATGTTTTAAGTTTCGGTTGTATCTTAAAAAGTTTGTTGGTGGTCTCGAGAGACCAGCGTTGCTGCCATTCATTTTGAATGGCTGTACGAATAGTAGGTTTAAAATCTATGTATGGTAGTTTGATATTTGTTTGTTCGAGATTCAATGCATTTTTTGCTTCCCTGTCAGCAAATTCGTTGCCTTTAATTCCGACATGGCTCGGAATCCATAGTATTGTTATTTTAGACTTTTTTAATATACGAGATATTCGAAGAGCAAGGTTTTGTACGAGTGTGTTTTTAGGATCTCGTAACTGTAAACTCTGTAGGACAGATAGAGAGTCTGAACAAATAATTGCCTTTTTAATGCGGTGTTCATCGATATGGTCGAGGGCCAAACCAATGGCGCATGCTTCAGCAGAAAAGATGGAGGCGCCGTCTGGTAGTCGGACTGAAGTGCAAGTATTGGCAGTACAGCAGGCTGCTGCCACTTTCTCACCTTCTTTGGAGCCATCGGTGTAAAGTTGTGTATGAGAAGGGTAATTCGAAATGCATTCCCGAAAGGAGGATTTGTGTTCTTCGGGCATAACACTTGATTTCCCTCGCTCATGTAATGTAAAGTTAAAATCGGGGGTTTGAATGGTCCACGGAGGAACATCAGATATGTTAAATTCAGCTATGTCCGTCAATTTTATGTTGAGTTCTTGCAGGAAATTCAAAATTCGGATACCAAATGTTGGCAGAAGTTTTTGGTTTTGCGTAAATATGTTTTGGTATTTGGGGTTGAATACTTGGTTGAAAGCAGGATTTTTAGGGTTTGATTTTAATTGAGTTGCAAATTGTAATGAAAGTTTTATTCTTCTGTCATAAAGGGATGGTTCATTTGCTTCCACGTACAGGCTTTTTACAGGTGTTGTTCGAAAAGCTCCCAGGGCAAGACGTAGCCCTTGGTTATGGATTGGATCTAGCATCTGAAGGTACGAACTGCGCGCTGACCCGTATACCATAGAACCATAATCCAGTTTTGTTCGAATAAGTGATCTGTATAGGCGCAAAAGCATTTCACGATCCGCTCCCCAATCAGTATGAGAAAGGACTCGTATAATGTTTAACGCCTTGGAACACTTATCCTTCAGATACTTTATATGTGGTATGAAAGAGAGTTTCGAATCAAAAATGAGGCCGAGAAATTTAGTCTGTTCAACAACAGGAATTCTAGTGCCATCGAGTGTTAGATTTGGGTCATTGTGTGCTTTTCGTTTTTGACAGAAATGCATGCACACAGTTTTGGATTTAGAGAATTTGAAGCCGTTTTCGTCTGCCCAATTTTGTAGTTTGTTTAAACTCTGTTGAAGTTGTCGTTCTATCGTGTGCATGTTCTTAGATCTGTAACAGATCAAGAAGTCATCCACAAATAACGACCCTTCTGTTGATTGACCAAGACATTTGACTATATCATTTATTTTAAGTCCAAACAGTGTGACTGATAGGATTCCACCCTGTGGGACTCCCATTTCCTGTTTAGACGTTTCAGAAAAAGTTGAACCAACACGGACTTTGAAGTGTCTATCTGATAGGTAATTAGATATAAAATTGGGAAGGTTTCCACGTACGCCAAGGTCGTGAAGATCTTTCATGATGCCATACTGCCATGTAGTATCATAGGCCTTCTCAAGATCGAAGAACACAGCGACAAGGTGTTCTTTCTTGGCGAAAGCCTCTCGAATGAACGTCTCTAATCTGATGAGATGGTCATTTGTCCCTCTTCTATTTCTAAAGCCACTTTGAAGAGGGGATATTATATCGTTGGCCTCAAGAAACCAAACCAGTCTAGTGTTTATCATTCGTTCTAAAGTTTTACATACACAACTAGTCAGAGAGATAGGACGATAGTTGTTTGGGTCAGTAGCATCCTTTCCCGGTTTTGGGATAGGTATAATTGTGGAGTTCTTCCACGAATCGGGAATCTTTCCGGAAGCGTAAACTTGGTTGAATATGTAAAGAAGGCATGTTAGTGAAGAGTCCGGTAAGTGCTTTAGAAAATATGGAATATCATTAGGACCCACCGAAGCAGTGTCCTGTGATTTTCTAAGCGAATCAACAAGTTCTGGTAGGGTAAATTGTTCATTATAACTGTTTGATGATTTGAAATTGAGCCGTTTCTTTTCTCTCTTTTTTTTTTTAAAGACTGGAATTTTTGGGATTGGTTTAAAGGGGATGAGTTTTTAGCTATGTTTTTTGCAAATGCATCAGCAAATGCAGTCATAGACGAAAAACAAATGTTTTTATTAATGAGGTGGGAGGATGTTGCCTTTTTCTTTTTCCCACTCATTTTCCGAATCATATTCCATACTTTTTTTGAGGACGTGTTTGATGATATCTTGGATACATATTCTCTCCAGCTGTTTCTTTTGTCAATTTTAATTGATCGCCGAGCCTTTGCCCGCCAAATTTTAAATTCACTGTAGTTTGAAGCAGTTGGGCAATTGAAGTAGCGTCTTAGAGCAGCTGCCCGATTACTGCGTGTTTTAACAGATTCTTCAGATAAAAGGAACTTCGTAGGTTTTGGAGCGGATTTTGGAATTGTCTTTTGGGCAATAGAAGTGAGTGTTTCAGTAAAAGTTTTGATAGGGTCGTCGAGGTTAGTAAAATTGTTTAGTAGTGACGTCATCTCATGTAGTGTGATACAGTGTTGGTTCGATCTTTAGGCCGGTGAAAAACTTGTCAGACTGGGAAATGAGGCAATCGATCTGCGCTGTAAACGAGAGACCCGAGACGTTGATTACGCAATCACGGGCCCGGCATATCCTGTTTTAATCGCAAAACAACAAACCAAGCGCAGTATCACACATAACCATGTGAATAATGTACCACATCAATAGATAAAAACTATAAGTGTACAACCAACTTGCGTTTCTTTCCAATAGGTTTCTCCTGTCCCACACAGCCGCTGATAGCACTAGAGTACGTCGGACTGGACAATCTCACGCCAGCCTTTGGACTCATCACCATGGCTAAAGGTCCAGCCGCTGTAGCGGGTCCACCACTTGCCGGTCAGACATCTATTAGTACACTTTGTAAACGTCTGATACCTATGATAAAAGAATCTCAAACTTTTAATTGTTTTTATTCCATATCTAACTACTGGAGCGAGCAGCTAATGTAACGGGGGAAGAGGGTGAGTGTTTTTAAGGCGTCTGGCCGTCTACGATCACTAACCCTCCACCACTGGGTCGTGGGTTCGAGGCCCACGTGAGGCAGTTGCCAGGTACTGGTCGCAGGTCGGTGGTTTTTCTCCTGTTTTCCTCCACAAGTCAAAACCTGGATCGTCCTAAAATGACCAAAGCTGTTGTTAGGACGTAAAACGCAAACCAAATATATCATGTAACACTATCTACCAAAGAAGTTCGCTAACTTAGCATACTTTGATATTCAGATTATCGTTAAGATTAATTTTATTTTAGTGTTTCAAAAGATTAAAAAATAATCAATTTAATATTCTCTTATTAACAATAGCGTTCTTTCCGACAGGTTGTATATGGGATCGGATTTTTTTCAAAATATACTGTAAGTGAGTTTTCTTGATAACCGGTGTCTAGATTACGAGGCATCCTTGGACATTATCGGTACGAATTGCCGAGGGTTCACTGTAACGGAGCCCGGCTCACGTCGAGTTCACTGTATAGTATCGGTGACCGGGTTGAAGAGGTTTCGCTGTACGTTATCGGTCTAGATAACCCAAGAATAAAATGCATATTTCCGGTGTCCGATGACCAAGATTACATTGTTCATTGTCGGACCGGGTTACCGACAGCTCACTGTACATTATTAGATTCGGGTTTCCGATGCTTCACTTGATAATTTAGTTTATTATTATTTACGTTTGAATGTATTTCCTGTTATTTTGTTATTTATAATATGGTGGGGTTGTTTTCGATGGAAATTGTCAGAGTTATTAGAATCTCGTTAATCTGGACGATTTGTCCAAGAAAATATTTTCAGACTTCCGTGACAGAACTTCTCACTTCTAAGTATCACCTTACCGAATTGTAAACAATGTTCTGCTGTAGTCACGTGATAACGCTTATCCCTTTAAATGTATGTGGCAACCATTACCGTCCGGGCAGTTTCCAAATGATCATTTGTATTTTTCAGGTGGCTTGTACCAGCTCACTCAGAACTATATTTACTCCAATGTATTTGGCGGGTGTCTACTTCTACTGACTGCGATAATCATGTCAGTCATGCCTTTCGTAGCAAAGTATCGTCTTCAGAAACAGGAAGCTCCGGACATCGAAATCACACCACGCTCTCTGGATGTCACAGACACGACTTCCGGGGAACGAGGCTCCCGGGGAAAAAATCCATGACGTCTAGCCTAGAACTGTATCTGAAGACTAATTAATTCAGTATTTATCTTAGGATCGTACATTGCAGATAAATGTTGATCTGTTTCTTTATTTCAGGTGAACATGATTTCTTTTTTTTTTTTTTTTTTGTAATCTAAAGCAAAATATTATCATAATTTTATCATTTATATAAAGGCATCATCGCATTGAAAAGTTCAGACCGTTTGTTACCAGTGCAGTATTTGCTTTGATAAGTCAGCGGAGCTCCCTTTGATCGATTTGAGAGAGAAAGTTTACCGCGATGACCGATTGCGCCGCACAGTGCATATCTATAAAGCGGTGTAGTTATAAATGTTCAAAGCGAGGTTCCCGTTGACCTTCGACTATTTATTTAATTACTGGACCAGTTAAAAGCAATAAATGTCCTCTCCAAGTATCAAAGAAGTTCAAGAACTCCTCATAAATGACATTTGGAATTAATTATATCAATTTGGTGGATATAAGTAAGAGAATAGTAATAAAGAAAACCAATTTACAATTTAAGTGAGCCCGTCATAAAGAATGAAAATAATAGTAAGAAATACTGACAGTAGAGAACACAGTTTTAAAAGTTAAAAGATTATAAGCTTTTATATCAACAACACACAGACCTACATAGTTATGTTGACCTTTATCTATGAGAGTTGCTATCGCCTTGAACGTGCGTGTGCCTAATACCACTAACTACGGATCCCCGTACCATTGCCGACAAAGAATGTACTGGACACGTTTTTCTGGCAAAACTATTTCTTTGATAAATAATTGCTGAAACGAAAGCCCTAACTTAGGGGAATACTATGAACATATAGAACTGTATGAAATAAACAAACATAATCAACAGCACTGTTTTGAATGAAAAAAATCCAGCGAAACTACACCAAGATTCGAACCCTGAACCTCTTATTGTTATATATATTGTTACTTTGACCAACTGAGCTAACAACAGCTGAGCTGGCTAACAGTAGTACCCTGGTCCGTTTGCTCTACAGTACTATCCAAAAACCGTGAAAATTAAGGGGAGGTTACTGTATATCAGAGACGTAATGTATACGTCTCTGTGTACATATATACGAAAGTCTACAGTACAAGTATCCAGTGTTTTGACAGGGACCCTTATTCTCAAAAAGAATCTGATTTGGTGGTAGAACTTAAGAGTTCTGCCTGGTTTCCGGATTGTATCATATGCTGTTACCTACTCTAGTTTATAGTAAAACTTTCAAGAAAACAGCAAACAATACCAAAGTGTCAACAAACCCGTTATGAAAATGAAATCGATAAAAATTAGGACACGATATTAACAAAGGCAATATTTCCATGGAAACCCCAGCAAAACACCTCCAAGATGATAGGAATAAGACCAGGTGATCCGGAAAGGTAAACATCGTTTTCATCGACAACTTGTAAATACAGTCCAAATTCAAGTAATGTCACGTTCTTAAAGCGGGAACCGGGGAAGCGAGAAGTGAAGCGAATGAAAATATCGACCTTTATATCACATTAGGAAATAGAATATTCGTCAATAAGATGATAACGGCGACAATGACCTTTGAACCAGAATTCTCAAACACAAACTCGTTGGAGGTATTGTAGTACAAAGTAAGGTTACCCCAAAATAAAAATAAAAACGGGGACAGTAGATTGAGAAAAAACCCATTTTCTATTGGTACCAGGAAATTGATTATGCAAATTCGGTTAAAAAATGAACTTTGAAGGGCTAATTCTTTGCTAGATTTTCACATCCATCTCAAATTGGAGGCACGCGGCTAGCTTTTTGATTGGTCTCGAGTAAAAAAAATGACCAATCACATGGTTGAAGCGACGCCCGATTTCAAAGCACCTCAATTTTACCGTTACGCGTCCGCGAGATTCGTTTGATGTACTGTGACATGTTCAGTGCAGAGAGCGTAAGTGAGCGTATCCCCTGTAGTATCGAGGATGGAAACGAAGGCTCTTAAAGGAATCAATAGCTATAAAAACTTTACACACAATATCAATAAAAAGATGGCATTTTAGCCTTTTTGCTTTTCTGTTTAACCGGCATATAAAATTGGCACAGCTAGAAACTAAAAACAAGATTGCAGCCAGGCAGCCGATGTATTTTTTTCTATCCAAAATGGAGGCTGCACAACTATTGGGGAGGGAAAGCATGCATACCAAATTCCATGATGATCTTTTATGTATAGCATCTGAGAAATGGTGGAGTGCATGGATGAATAGATGAATAAATGGAGGACGGACGAAATGCGATTTTGACATCTGATGATGTTGGCCAAACAGATGTTTAAACAAACGTCAGTAAAACTAGGCATGGTAAAAGACACGTCCCATGGTAACAGACACGTCCCATGGTAACAGACACGTCCCATGGCAACAGACACGTCCCATGGTAACAGACACGTCCCATGGTAACAGACACGCTCCATGGTAACAGACACGCCCCATGGTAACAGACACGTCACAAAGAAAAAGTTCGAAACGGGGTGTCAACAAACGCGTGCATTTTTTTAATCGGAAAATGTTCAAAAAGATGTTCAGATTATTAAAGTTACCTCTGTAAATAGATGTTCAGTCTTTACATACATCTACAAGGGAGCTTGGTAAACAGACCACTTCTACACAATCTGTTTGAAGTCGTCGGATATGTGTTAAAAATAAATTTTATGACTAGACTTATTGACGTCAGCAAATTATGCTCATAACAGAAATATGTCAAATATGTATGTTGTTCAGCCGATAGAACTATTCTGTCTAGCCATCAAGACTGGTGTGGACATTGGCGTTTCTTTACCCTCGTCATAGGTATACAATCGTGTGGTTTATTCTGCCAAGACTGAAGCACACTGATTTCAATTATTGTTTATGAGAAAAGGGTTTATTTAAATAAATCCTTGAATTTCTCATGATACTTTATAAATATATAACTGCTATATAATATGAATAACGGATACTAAAATAGATCCTCACAATGCCAAATTGTTTATATGTTTATATAAACAATTCAAGAAAAATGACACTCCGAAATGATATTTTAGATACCACACAAGCATACCAGGTTAGGACAGGTTATGCTAACCAAGCGTTGGTGACTTTTAGACAATGCACACGATATGTCAGATATATCACACAAGTCAGGTACATGTAGATGTATCGACTTGTCAAGCAGGACAAAAAATAACCATATTCAAATTGTTACTGTAAATACCGCTACATGTATATCAGCATATTTTGTATGTGCAGGCTTCTGAAAAGCCTCGTTGTAGAACGGAAGCCATCCTCTTTGTTAGATATGCTGTTAGATTTTCTAACAGGTCCTTACTTGGAAATGTCTGCTTTAGTTTACCACCGTATTAACCACATAAGAAACACCCTGTATTATTACTTTTCAACAAATTTGCATTTTATAATATTAATATGAATATACACAATGAAGTAATGAATAAAAAAAATAAAAATAAAACATAAAAATAAAAACTGTTTTGCATGAATAAATCAAGTAAATGTTTAAATATTGATTCACAGCAAACAAAATATTTAAACCCCTTTAAAGGGACATCACGGCGAAACATATATTTTTCTTATTTTTTGGGGGGGGATTTCAACCTGTCTGACCAGAGACGTATGACCAACGCGTTGATCATGGATTCTCTCCGTGTCGGAGCTACTAGCGCATAGTACGCCATTTCATTGCAAATGGTCAAAAGCTAGCGCAATGAGTACGTTACGGAAGCATTATCGCAAGTGGCAAGTATTCAAAGGAGAAACCAGCTCCCGTAACAGTTAGCACGGTGCATGTCATCTTCCGGATGATAGCCGGTACAAAGTTAAATAAAGCCGATATGGAATCGGCAGAAATGCGGTTTATTAACCTTGCTAGTGTTTTTGTCATAGTCGGAACACAGATGAACTTATTTTGTTTTGTAAATGGGCATGTATCGGGAGAGTTTACTTTGCGTTTCTATGGATAAGCACGGATTTATATAACCTAATTCCGTGGGATAAGTGACTGGTTAGTCTGATTTTGCTATGGGGCCCCCCAAGGGGTAACTGTTGGACAGTACGGCCACGGCGTATAGCAAACTTTCTATTGATTTGGTTAAGTACAGAGTACAGTGTACAACATTACACAGAACGTTGATTCTGCCCTTTTTAAATATTTTATAATGAAAACCATATATATAAACCATTTTTATGTATATACTATCGCTAAGAAAATAATGACGTATGTACTGAACTAAACAAACCTCGAGATGATGTATAAATGAGCTTGTGTCCTGCAGGTTACCGACCTAGTTCGTCCAGTCCACTGCTATAAGAGACCTCCTGTGCATAAGATTGTTAACTCTAGCTTGACTTGTAAACTCTTGTTAGGGCCCCGTATCTCCACGGGTGCCCTATAGTAATCACTGTGTCTGTCTGCCTGTCTGTCTGTCCACACATTTTGTTCCTGACTGATAACTTTGGTATTAATTGACCGATTTACAAGATCAAAGGTCAAGGTATTTAGGTTCAAAGGTCAAGGTCAATTTTTGCATCTTTTCACTGATGAATATTTTGTTATGACACTATGAAGCAATGTTGGTCAGAATTAAACAATGAGTCAACTGACCAAAGGTCAAGGTTAAATTTTGTATCTTTCCACTGGTGAACATTTCGTCATGACGCTTTGAAGCAATGTTGCTCAGAACTAAACAAGGAGTCATTTGACCAAAAGTGAAGGTCACTGGGTCAAAGGTCAAGGGCAAATTTTGTATATTTTCACTGATGAACATTTTGTTATTACATCATGAAGCAAAGTTGGTCGGAATTTAACAAGGAGTCAACTGACTTAAGGTCAAGGTAACTGGGTCAAAGTCAAATATTGTATCTTTTTACTGATGAACATTAGTTTTATGTTAATATGAAACAAAGTGGTTCAGAACTTAACATGGAGTCAACTGACCTAAGGTCCAGGTTACAGGGTCCAAAAGTTCAAGGTCAAGGTCAAGGCTGTATTTTTCATTGATGAACATTTTGTGATGATATTATGAAGCGAAGTTGGTCGGAATTAAAGAATTAGTCATCTGACTAAAGGTCAAATATGGAGGTGGAAGGAAACAAGACTCACATCCTAGTACATGTCAAATGGATATTTTGCTTCCTTGCGATTCTTTTTGAAGTCCAAATGTCAAACGTCAAGCTCAGCGATATGGGCAGATTGCTTCTCAATGATTATGGGGGATATATTGCCACAAGACGGGGCCCTTACTGACATGTCAGTGTTCTAGTTCACTTGGTTGTGAACTAGAGTAAAAAAATAAGCTGTTAGCTTCAGTGAACAGGTTGTAAACCCCAATGCTTGTGCTAAAGCACTGGAGTTAACTTTTCTGCCAATCTAATTAAGATGAGAACTTCGCGTTGTTCCCGTTCACATTACACATCAGTAAAAGAGAGAGATGCGAAGATTAAAATAGATTGCTTTTCTTGCGAACTACAGTTAAATAGGCAGTGAACTCCAGAACTGGCTACTACACTGGAGTTTACTTTTCTTGTGTTCACTAAGTTAGTAAGCTATCTTGTACCGAACATTGCATAGAATATAAATTTTGGACCATTAAGTTGAATGTCATTATCTCTCATCAGTAGTACAAGTCCTGATCAAAATTTCAATATTTTTCTCTGTATGATAAGTTTATATAGTCTCCAAACATTCTTCTAAATGCCTTATATCTATTAACTGTAAACGGAACGTATGTAATCATTGCTGCAAAAGAAATGTACCCCTTTATAGAAAAATGACAATTCAGAACTCGGCATGCTCATCCCAAAGTAAACTCCAGTGTGGAGAAATGTCTTCGCCTCACGGAAACATTGTTCCATTCCTCTGTCAACGCTGAAGTCAATTTCGGTTGGTTCGTCCTTTAGACTCACCCCAAAGATAGTCAACAGGAGACATGTCGGTGCTATACGGGTCATTCTAGTGGCTGGACATTGTTGACTGCCATTCTCTTGTGTAATGCTATAAAGAAAGTGGTAGGACAACAAGTTGGTGGGTCTGGGCCCGTATTCATGAAAACTTTCTGATGCTGAAACACAGATTCTGTGCTCTTGGTCTTGGTCCGGTGATAATATATGTCATCAATGATTTGGAAGAATTTCGGGCTGACCTCAAGCTAAATACCGTTTTAAACGTTAAAACTTCATTTTTTGACTATGTCACATGATTTACGGGAGTAACATAGGTTAGATTGAGCACAGAATCCGGACTTGAGCATGAGAACGGTAACATGTGCCACCAGTTCGGGTTTGGTTGAGAAACAATAAGAGATAAGAGGAACTTCACGTCCCAGGATATGGCTTCCCGAACCATCCCAATACCCCAATCAAACGTGTCCTTTTGTCAGCCATATACGTTTTTACTCCCGTCTGAGCAATAAACAGGTTGGTCAACAGTCTACGCATGCGATCCCCTACCTATTTTGGCCAGGAGTGCGCGTCCAATCAAGACGAACTTACCGCGCCAGCGGTGTCAGAGATGGCCGCACATAATGTTGGCGAGCGTTGATCTTGAGCGTGGGTATGCAGTCTGTTAATCAGTAGTAACTAGTGGTGGTAACACAGGGATAATAGCATAACAGACTGACACAGTGCCTCACAAACAAGTAAAACATTAAACCTGCCGTACGACAGCAGTTTGACCATCTATCAACATTGCGACCTCTCCCTTTCTGGGCCCGTATTCATGAAACCGTTCTCATGCTTAAGCATGGATTTTGTGCTCAAGACTTATTTCTTGTTTCAGTTATAAGTTATTAAAAACATTTTATTTTGTCAAAGATTTGGGGAAAAATTGAAGAGAATAAAAGCCGAAAACTGTTTTCAATGTTTACATTTGCTTTTTTGAGTGTTTTATATGATTTAAGTGAGATACAAAAAAAACTGGTTTGAGCACAGAATCTATGCTTGGGCATAATAACGGTTTCATGAATGCGGGCCCTGAACTTTCATTAAGAAATTACTCTTACAAAATGGTTACGAGGGAAATTGATGTGCTTAAAATCGTTGTAGTATGTAAGGATTCATTGCAAATTTCCTACTAAGTCTGGTGGGGTCAGCTCTACCAATTAATCAACCAATCGACCGATTCCAGTTTTGCTATATCCTCCCTCCGTTTTCTAAGTCGTTGTCCCCGAAGACACAACTATCAACTACTTGAAACAAGGATTGGCAAGCTCGACAATTTGGAAATAGAAGAGAGAGTATGTTTTTTTTTTCTAAACAGAAAATATATTATATTTTTCATATACTGTATGTAACGACATCTAATAGTTCAACAGATGCCCTACAAACGTCCTGATACTGATACTTCTGATTTTATAATAATTTACTGACGATATTAACAAAAATGTTTTATAATAAACAAATACATTTCAACCAGTATCCTTTTGAATGATAAAACTTATCTGGAGTGAATTCGCCGGACATATAGCTAGGTGATGGTATGACTCGACGATTCCAAATTATAGAATTTAGAAGTTAATACAACTCCAATTCAATATCAAAAAGACATTGTAATAATCGAAAAAAAGAAATATTGGAACAATTTTTTTTTCAACTTGCTATAAGACAGACAGGTGTATATTTAAAAATAACTAAAATGATAGTCAAATAGATTAAATACTTCATTTTTGTTTTCTTAATTTTGTTTTGCCGTAGCAGCTGCCTGGCAAATGTATCAGTAAAATTATCATACATAACTAGTTCCCTGAGTAAACAACCATCAACTCCTTACTCCAGAAACGTCCTGCTTTCTTTCATCGTTTTCCTCTACCTATCATACATAACTAGTTCCCCTAGTAAACAACCATCAACTCCTTACTCAAGAAACGTCCTGCTTTCTTTCATCGTTTTCCTCTACCTAAGTCCATAGTCATCACTGAAACAGATTGTCTGGTGAGGATATCTCATACACAATTCAATTTCTTCTATTATTCTTCTTCTCCGAACAAGACATCCAATGGTTTAATGGAAATCTGGTTTGCCATTCACACCCCCATTATCCATTATCTTTAGGGTAAGGGTTCTTCTTGATGTCTCGTCCAACCCTCTTACCACTATCCAAAATGTCGTCCATTTTCACTCTTGTCCTTATACCAACAAGACATTCATCCCTCCTGTGTCCCGTTGTCTACAATAAGTCCACTTCTACTTGGAGTTGTCCCTATTCCAATTAGATGTCTTGTTTTTTATTGTCCTTATACAAACAAGACATTCACCCTTCCCTTGTTCTGTTCTCTACAACTCCACTTCTTCTTAGAGTTGTGCCTATTCCAACAAGATGTCCACCTCTTCCAGTGGTATTTGGAGCCGAAGTTCCTTCTCCATCAGGAGGTCTGTGACACTGTCCAGATTTTCTTCCCCAAACATCGACACGCCATCTAGGTAGAGCACCTGACAAAGACCAATGTCACCATTAAAATTAATAAATAAAATGGTACTGACAAATTTACTTTATTATCTGTATGATCCAATGTGAATGTCCAGACCCAGACAAATTGACTCTTTCATGTAAGGTAGCTAGATTTCACTGTTAACATGATTTTGTTTCTTATTTGTTTAAGTCTTTATCAATACAATAAGATAACACTAGCCAAAACAACATAGAATGCTGTACCAAGAACAAATCTGGAAATAAGTTATAGAAATGTGATCTACCTAACAGTACCTAACGCATGTGTCAAAAACTGTCAAAAGTTTCAGGACTTTACAGTGAACTGTGACTGGTTCGTATCATAGAATATGCTGAACGTTTTTTGAGTTGCTAAATCACAAATTCAAAGGGAGCAAATTTAAAGTTAATGATTGGCACATCTCAGTTCTAACAGTTCAATAAAGTATGCAAACTGTTTTTCTTTGTTGCCTACTTTGCCCAGCAAACAAGCGGTTTTGTTGTTGCCTTAATTTGCCTTGTAAACTAGACATTTTGATGTTACTTACCTTGGCCCAGGGGCAATGCTGAAGGGCCTGATAAAACATCCCCTTCGCTCGCTCCCTCTTTCCGTACTTCATCTGGAATGATACAAGAATGTGAGAGGTATCTTTGAAATATCTGTAATCCCCTGTAGCTTTTTGTTTGTTTTCAATTTTATATCGGGTTAAATCAAAGTTAACACAGTTTCAATATTACAGGTCATGATGCTATTACTAGTCACAGTATGGGTTACGCTAAATTTTCAACAGATCTGAATTTGATGAAGTGGAATGGATTGAAACATTTTCTCACAAAGGTTAAGCTGAATAATCATTGCACCAATGTGTCTTACCACAGCATGAAATCTACTGGTTAGTGTCAACTTTCAGAGTTTCCAAAGTAAGAGTGGAAGCAAAAAATATAAGCTTCATGAACTTTGGGGCTATTTCATAAAAGTTTTTGTCTCCTGCTGGTTTAACGTTTAAATTTGTATCAGTGAAATATCTTTTAGAATCTTACATAGCAGATTCAAGAACACTTGAGAATGTTCCATGTTGTAGAAAAAGGGTTTTAACTACCTCGGTATAAAGACACAGGCGCCAGAAGAGAGGACAGTTCTGGGCGAGAACACTGTCCTTGCCGACATCACAGTAGGTCCTGATGCGATGGATCATACTTGTTTCTGGAATCAACACCTCACCATCTTCTCCTGTAACAGGGAAAGTGAACAATACAGATTCAAGTACATGTACTGTATAGATCACTGCATTTTTGTATGTAGTACCAAGGTGCTTTATTTTGCAAACTTTGCCTTTCGGTTTCATTTTTGAGAATATTTGAATAAGCGATGGAGAGGATGCAATTTTAAAACAGATGCATTACTGAAGAATTAAACTTACAAATGAGTTTCATTGTGGGAAAAGTTCAGCAAATGTAAGTTTTTAACCTGTTGTATTCACAAAAGCTTGGGGAACTGTTGCCTGATGCTATTCACCCCCGTATCAATGAAGAGGACAGGATCATGACTATAGTGCCCTTTAAAATACCATATGTATCCTGAAATAAGCCCAAGGTGGGGTCGGGTGGGGGATGCAACTGGTATTCTTATGCACAAAGTAGAGGGTGGGCTTATGACAGCAGGACAATAAAATATGAAATCATGGGTTAAGTTAGCATTTCTAATGAACTGCAATATTGGGCAGACTTGTTACCAGACATGGGCTTATTCAAGTTATTGCCAGATAAATATGGAAGGTTAATTGCAAAAGGTCACTAGTGTAAACTGTCTTAGCAAAAAAAAACACTTTCTATATCTTAGCTGAAAGAGACCTTAAAAAATTACAAATGGTTGTTACAATTCCCTACACATGCAATCTTTATATTGAATTTTGAACTGTTTTTATATACACACAAGCTAATCAGTCTACTACCAGGTACAACTATCTTACTTGGCCCAGATCATCTTATTTCCAAAGTGTACATTTGTGTTTATAATAAGGTGGCAGTAAGCGAGGTGTCAAATGGAGGGATTGGCAGTATATGGAGGTTTTACTGTAGGTCCATTAAGTGTTTGGTACACAGGTTTCAGTCTATACATATACTAACATTAAAGTAGATACCCACCCTGTTTCCGGGTATTGTCCTTCCTCAGCTGCTCCTCCACGTCCCGAAGTTTCTTGACCTGAGACAACACAGCCATTAACAGGAGAACGGGTTGAGCTCCCTCCTTCAGACGATGACTAAAGAAACGATTAAGCCGGCCAGAAACATTCATCTTCAATTCCGTCTGAGTAAACAGCCACAGGAAGTGAGAATTGCAAGGGAAGTCACTCAGAGCAGCATTTATGGCAGAGCGCAGACAGTTGAGAGGGGCAGACAATGAGGACATGTGACACACAACCATTCGGATCTTTATTTTGTGCAGTTCCTCCAGGACTCGTAAACAGTTGGATGTTTGCGGTTCACAGCGAGGCTGCTCGCTATCTGGGAAGGGGGATTGGCAGTTCGGAAGGAGAAGTTGCACTTGGGACAATGCCCGGTCCACTATTGTTATGCTTTCCCTCAACAGGTCTGCTTGTGTTAGCCACGCATATAATACACAACACCTGGTGAACTCACAGAAGACCTGCAAGGTCAACACACACTTGCCACTATTCCCACATACGTCGCTCTTCAGGTTCTCAACATAACTATCAAACACTGCCATCATTTTCTTCATGGTCCAAGAACAGATCAATGGATTCTCAAACGGATGAGGATCTTTGATGTTTTTTCCTTTCACAAGACATTGAAGGCCCCAGCGAGCCTCAATTTTAGATTTGTCAGATTCTTTGTCCAGGATCCTTTCCCCACATACTGGTAACTCTCGCGATGGAAATTTCAGAACAATTTCTGCCAAAATCCTGTGTAGTCGTACAAGTCCACATCGTGTCCCCGGGTCCACGTCCACAGATAGTCCTGATCCACTGTGCATTGACAAGGCTGTCTCCACCACAGGACGAGCCTCCAATGGTCCTCCAACTGTCCACAACAAGGTTGTGTATTCACTCCATACATACAAGTTACTCCTGTTTCTCGCCTCCTTTAACATAGACTTACCAAACTTCTTAAGTTGTTTTAGACCATTAGAGCTGTCTCCTATGCATTGTTTAAAGAATCGTAATCTCATTGCTGTGAGAAGGGTATGAGAACTCACATCATCATCAAAATATGTGATCATCTGTTCTAACAGGGAGTTGATGTAGGTTTTGACTAGAGAGGTCACCTTGATGTTTCCATGACACTGGGGAATCAGGTCCTTGTCGAAGATCTGTGATACCCTATCTAAATTGCACTGATGGTCCACGGAACTCACAGAGGTTAACATGAAGCCACTTGATGTGTCAACACCAAGAAACAAAAAAAACTGCAGAGCGGCTTCAAACTGGAGCCATTTTGGTAATGTAAATAACACACCAGAAATATCGTCAAACAAAACAAGGCGTTCCATATCCTGGCAATCCTCTTCTGTCTCGTCCTTAGACACATCAGGTCTCCAAGGCAACAAGTGGACAGACTCGCGCAGCAGTTCCAAGTTCAGCCACATCCTCCATTTTGGATCCTTCAGGGCAAGTAGTTCTTGTTCTTCTTGTTGTATATCTGAAGGAAGAAGATGAAAAATACATAAACTGACACATCACTGAAAATTAATGGCCATAGGACCAAGAGCAAAATATATACTGTAGCAGCACACAAGTTTGTAAGATGAAGAAATAGTGTGTATGGAGATTTGTTCTTCAGAGAGCTTGGGGTAACTTTGTAAGATTTTATTCCCACATAGACAATATTTTGGAGATACAGCTGTATTTGTTTTTCAGTTTATAAAAATTATGAAAAATCCTGGAGAACAAAAAAAGGAACAAAGTGAGAAATTTATTGCGAAATTGCGAAAGTATTATTATAAAAAAAGGAAAAAATTATCTGATCTGTACTGTTCAGTTTGTCGGCTAAATTTAAGCATTAACATTTTCTTTGTATTTTGCAATAATGTCATATTGAATATGTCATGTGATGACAACTTTCAAAAGAGACACCATGGAATTTCCCCCCTAAAATCACAGAATGGAGTACTGGATGAAAATGTCACAAACATGATAATCAAGTCGCACCTGTATCTAGAGTCACAGACGCTGATGTATGTACATCTTCAGGGTGCTCTGACCAGTATCTCCAGCCTTTGGCGTTGTTCTCTCCTACCCTGCTTATACCACTGTCCCAGAAACTCTCAAACACATTCTGCTTGTCCTGGTGACGAGAACTCTCCAGTGATGGAGGGCAGAAAAGGTTGAACTCTATCAGGGCCTGGAAACAACCTACAGCCTTCTCCATGTGGCCGGTTTGTCTCAGGAAACAGCAAAACTGCACAAACAGATCTACAATGAAATAAGTATAATATGAATCAATAACACCAATGTTTACATTACAAACAACCATGTGCCAATGTCGTGAATTCACAGAGAAAGGCAAAAGTGATGGCATTTCTTGCTACATGTACAGTGCACATGGTAATTTTGTGACCAAATATGTTATTTGACTTAGGTAAACATTTCCATTTAAGTTTGTTTTGTTTTGATGGACTTCACCGAAGGTATTTTCCAGATTTGTGAACTAGTTTGAAAATCGTTTTTGCAGGCAATTGCATTGTCAAGGAGCCACACTAACCCTTTCACCCCTAGGTAACTTTAGTAGACTCTACCATATACCTTTATCTGGATGAGTCAATTGTGGTCCACAGTGGTGAAAGGGTTAATGCATTTGTTCAAGTTTCATTTACATTTCAGTCTGTGAAACAGTCAAGCGTTTCTCATATTGAATTATTGCCAAGTATGGTAAATAGATTGAAGCACTAACCCTTTTATTATCTACAAACGTGACAATAAAATTTAGATGATATGGATTTCCCCCTGACTTTGTGTATTGCTAGACATTATTGACATGTATTTCTTGAAGAAATGCATATAACAAGAGGCCTAATGGGACTGTGTCACTCACCTGTTATTAAATGGTGTTGGAACAAACATATCATTGTGACCTTCAAGGTAGGTCAAGGTCAATCTTTTAAAAACAATTTTTGTAGCAAGCAAGCTTATATTACAGATAAAATATCATTGCTCTATACCTTAAGGATCTTTGATGAAAGAATTCAGCATAGTTTACTCTTTTGGGTCAAGGCACAATAATAGTAACCCATGATTAATGGACCAGGTTTGAAATTTGACCTTAGAGACCTACAAAGTGGGTCAAGGTCATATGTACATATATTCAGACAAAATGTATTGCCCTTCACCCTAGCAATTACAATCCAAATATTTATTGTTTGGTCTAGACCTTATGAGTCTTTAGAAGATGTTGTTTGCCCTTTTAGTAGACACTCACCTAGCATGTCCCTGTCGAGCCCTTCTGTGGACCCCCGGGAGATCACTGAACCCTCCTGATAGCCAATCAGTTTCTGTATACAGGTGGTGTAGAGTTTACACACGCGTGTGACAGAGAAGGTGGCGAGGTGAGACTGATTGTACAGCAGGTACCTCCTCCACAGGGCAGTGTCTGTAGGGTACACAAATAACAGGCTTTCAAACTCTTTGTTCACCTCGGCCACCTCCAGACTGTTCTGGCAAAGCTCCAGGTATCTCAGCTTAAGAGATACACAAGATGAATTCATCTCCATAGCCTTCTGAAGGATCATCACCTTTTTCTCGTGAATAACCTGTTTTGGGAGTTTCTTCACATTAATGCTACCAGAGTGACTCTCGTCAGATATGTCCTCATATAAAAATCTGTCTTGGAAATTAACAAACTCCAACCAAAGACTGACATCCTTCGGATTTTCCCTCAGACGCCTATTGTAGTCTGCATTCTTTTGCCACAAATATGATTTTTGTATGGGGTTGTCCTCCTGTTCTGGTGGAACCACCCCAGCACCTTGTACGTATGCCATAGACTTTACGTCCATCAACTGGTCGCGCACATCACCTCTCAGTAGATTGTCCTCTTGGTTCTTGCCTGCAGGGTTGATCTTGTTCACAGGTATGAATTCCTTTGCCCCATCTGCACCACTCCAATTTTCCTTGTTGGTCAGTAGAACCCCCTGCGGGGCTGATCGTAATATTTTTCGGTTTTCTCTATTGTAGTACCTGTTATGTGTTTTGGCTTGCCTCCCTTGATCCTTGGCCACCCTAAGTGACACGGTGGGCTGGTCCTCTGCAGCCAAACAAATATCTATATGTCTTCTGAACTTAGCAACATGCCTATCCACCACCGATCCATAGATGTAGTTGTTTTGATTGGGTTTTCTGTCGATCCTGTAAGCATCCTCTGCCTCCATTCCAGGGATCTCGTCAATAAACACTTTGTCTCCGTGCTGGAATACCTTTGATCTGCAGATAATGTAACGAAAAAGAAAAAGAAAAGTCATAATCATGAAATATACAGGGTGATTTCATCTCTAATGTCATTTTCTTGATTTTCTGTAGGAAAGAGAAATATATTTGAGGATTAGTTCTGGTATTTCAACAAAATAATCAAAGAATGTCATTTTACAACAATTTATATTGTGGTCCCGTTGCATTGTTGAGCTATCACTTAGGTGGATGGAAAATCTACAAGTTCAATGACAATGCAAGACACAGACAAAACAAATTCAATGACATTTTTTATAAGTTGGCAAGTTTCCTTACTGTTTTTCGGTGACCTTGCTGTACACAGCGGCTGGACTCCTTGACCTTGACCTCCGGTGTTTGTGTTTCTTAGACTTGTGTTTATGCTTTTCTTTCTTAACTTTCTTCCTGTGCTTTTTGACAACCGAATCTTCTAGAAAAAAAGTTAATAATTCAGAATGAACCAGTTGCAGTTTCTGTTGACTGAAATATCTACAAGCTTTTTTTTTTCCATTTGAACCTTAATATGCAATTACTGAACTAGTTGTGTTGACTCTGTTATCAAAACATTTTATTTTTTTTGTGAATCGAGAATTCATTTTAACTAATTGTGTAAATAGGAAATGCTTATGATTAGCTAAATGATGTGTTTTTCTTAAATTAGACCACAAGTGATCAAATTAAAATATCACACTTTACTTGGAACACTTACTCTCATCATCTTCGTCGCTCGCACCACTTCTAGCTTTGTCTTCTTTCTGTCTCTTAGATCTAATAAACAGTTATTGAATTAATAATTCTCTTCTTTTGATATCAGTTATACACCTATCCCGACACACAAACACCTGTTATGTCGTTCTAGTTCACATACATGATGGCCGACAATGTTTTTTTTTTTTTTATAGAAGCATATACCAGCTGGTAGATATCAGTCACAATGAAAATAAATGCCTTTTGATATTTAAGCCATGTTACTTTGACCAGATTAAAAAAAAAAAAATCACTTTCAAATATATTTTTGTTTGTATTTTTTTCTTTATCACAAGATCTGGCTATGCTACTATTCAGTGTTGAAGCATTATCACATAAATATTCAAACAGGCAACAGCTGTGGTGTTGCAATACATACCGTTGTGCCGTACATATATACCAGGTAACAACAACATGATGTCATGTATTCATAATGTAACAACAGCATTATAATTTTCTGATTCATTTTGATAAAATCATTCATATATATATATTATTTTATATAATTAAGGGATCCCTGGTTTTTCGTACACACAGTGATCTCCCCTTAATTTTGCTTTGGATATAACTGTAGCAGTTTGTCCGTGATATTTCTGTTGACTACGTAGCTCTATCAGTTAGAGCTACAGTATAATAATTTGAAGTCCAGGGTTCGAATCTTGGTGTAGGCATGCTTTTTTTTTTTTTACACCCAACCAGAACACTATTGTTGATTGTTTTTTTGTTTATTTCATCGCCATTATGTTTACATTAAAAGTCCTGCAAGGTTTCCTTTTCTTTTCAAAAATGATTTATTAAAGTTATAATCAATTCGGAAAATAAGTCTTGAATGTGCAGTTTCATTATGTGGTCAGGGATCCTTAACTAAACCATGATATGAAAAGAAGATTCTCAAAAAGACTTGCTAACATTTCATACGATGATTCCAACACTCTTTCTCCTTATAAATATCTCCATTCCTGAAGCATCAGAAAATACTAGAGAGAAGTAAACATTTCATGTTGCCTGCATGTTTGAAACAACAATATTTTATATCATTCCTATGAACAGTTTCTCCATTCCTTAATTATTCCAGGCAATTTTCCCCCAATCAGAATCAGAAATCATGTAATTCAAACAGAAACATACATGGTTTTCTGGATATGATATGAACATTATGGGAGAAACTGACCCCCAAACTCATCACATTTATCTAACTCTCCTTGTTTAACTCTCAAACTGTTCAAAGATACTCGGTAAACCTTGTGTCTTCCTACAGTTTGGAAATCTATAAACTTGATTTCAATAAACAAGATAACCAACCACCAGTCAGTGGAAAATAAACATGATAATCAACCACCAGTCAGTGGGAAATAAACAGGATAACCAACCAACCACCAGTCAGTGGGAAATTAACAGGATAATCAACCAACCACCAGTCAGTGGGAAATAAACAGGATAACCAACCAACCACCAGTCAGTGGGAAATTAACAGGATAATCAACCAACCACCAGTCAGTGGGAAATAAACAGGATAACCAACCAACCACCAGTCAGTGGGAAATATACAGGATAGTAAACCACCAGTCAGTGGGAAATAAACAGGATAATCAACCAACCTCCAGTCAGTGGGAAATATACATGATAGTAAACCGCCAGTCAGTGGGAAATATACATGATAGTAAACCACCAGTCAGTGGGCAATAAACATGATAGTAAACCACCAGTCAGTGGGAAATATACATGATAATCAACCAACCACCAGTCAGTGGGAAATATACAGGATAGTAAACCACCAGTCAGTGGGAAATAGACATGATAGTAAACCACCAGTCAGTGGGAAATAAACAGGATAACCAACCAACCACCAGTCAGTGGGAAATTAACAGGATAATCAACCAACCACCAGTCAGTGGGAAATATACAGGATAGTAAACCACCAGTCAGTGGGAAATAGACATGATAGTAAACCACCAGTCAGTGGGAAATATACATGATAGAAAACCACCAGTCAGTGGGAAATAAACACGATAACCAACCAACCACCAGTCAGTGGGAAATTAACAGGATAATCAACCAACCACCAGTCAGTGGGAAATAAACAGGATAATAAACCAACCACCAGTCAGTGGGAAATATACATGATAATCAACCAACCACCAGTCAGTGGGAAATATACAGGATAGTAAACCACCAGTCAGTGGGAAATATACAAGATAATCAACCAACCACCAGTCAGTGGGAAATATACATGATAATCAACCAACCACCAGTCAGTGGGAAATAAACAGGATAATTAACAGCCAGTCAGTGGGAAATAAACAGGATAATCAACCACCAGTCAGTGGGAAATATACATGATAGTAAACCGCCAGTCAGTGGGAAATATACATGATAGTAAAACACCAGTCAGTGGGAAATAAACATGATAACCAACCAACCACCATTCAGTGGGAAATAAACAGGATAATCAACCGCCAGTCAGTGGGAAATAAACATGATAATCAACCACCAGTCAGTGGGAAATATACATGATAGTAAACCGCCAGTCAGTGGGAAATATACATGATAGTAAACCGCCAGTCAGTGGGAAATATACATGATAGTAAACCACCAGTCAGTGGGAAATATACAAGATAATCAACCAACCACCAGTCAGTGGGAAATAAACAGGATAACCAACCAACCACCAGTCAGTGGGAAATTAACAGGATAATCAACCAACCACCAGTCAGTGGGAAATATACAGGATAGTAAACCACCAGTCAGTGGGAAATAGACATGATAGTAAACCACCAGTCAGTGGGAAATAAATATGATATTAAACCACCAGTCAGTGGGAAATATACATGATAATCAACCAACCACCAGTCAGTGGGAAATAAACAGGATAACCAACCAACCACCAGTCAGTGGGAAATAAACAGGATAATCAACCACCAGTCAGTGGGAAATAAACATAATAATCAACCACCAGTCAGTGGGAAATCTCTGTATCTAAAAGGGAACTTATATCTTTCTGCTAGAATAAAATAGAATAAAAAACAGATGTGACTTGAAGCAAGTCATGGAGTAAGACAACCATACCCAGTGTGACCAAAAGGTGAGTGTTCCGGACTGTCAAAGGAAACCTCTGGTGGAGCAATTGTCTGTACAGGGGAATCTGGTGTCTGTGTTACTGTCTGTGATGTAGGTTCTGACTGGTAGCTTTTGTTACTTAACCAATCAAAACCTCCTAAAATGAAAAAAGAGAAAGAAGAAATTATAGATATAAGCAAAATTCTACCACTTTGGTGATGTTACAACACTTTTCATAAGTTATTACCAATCATGTATTTATTAAAAAACAAAACATGAATGTGCGACACACTTTTTTTAGTTTTCCTTAGATTCATGTAGCACAACCAATAAGTGAGTATATGTGACGTTTCGATGACTAGTATGATATGTACTCTGTCACTTTCATCAGACAAATAACCAGTGAAGCGAATGTACACAAAAGTGAAAAATATGTACGAGTTGTCCATGCAAATCAATGTTGATTTGGCAACGCTGTAAGCGTATACATGTACAATTAGTTGTTACATTTGTACCAAAATGACTTGATTCGGCAATGCTTTGTTTAATACTTGGTCATAGATGTGCACGAGTCTATGACCCCCTCATCTCGATTTAGAACTGGCCTATTGTGGCGTATCCAGATGGCTTCCATTATCTGCTGCTTGAACAGATTGCTATCTCTGTCCCATTATTTATTTATCTAAACATGCCCACATCCAGTGTCCAGATCCAACCTTGGCTGCTACATTATTCCTATCCCTCCAACCCCCACTGACAGTTTTTATCCTAAGACTTGACTAAGAGAATCCTGTGAGTCTTCCCTAAACCACTGGGAACTGACCTACAAGGTAACCAAAGATCACAAGGCCAGCCTAGAAGGGCACCCATCCAACTCTGACCATGCTCTCTATGTTGCTTAACTGTTCACTTGAAAAGCTAGCTTGCAAATGAGGCAGTGTTTTATCCTGAAATTCCTGCCACTATATAACTCACTCACTCTGACTATTTAAAGTCGTTTGCGTGTTTGCAACCTTCAATTTACAGGGGACAAAACAATGCTTATGACCATTCCCTTGCTTTTATGTTGCACAAGGTACAAGAGATGATAATTAGCTCTACATTATTCCATATTTATTAAGCCTCTCAAAACATGAAAGTGTAATAGGAGAAAGAGAAATGCACAGCATGACTGGGATTCAAACCCAGATCCTCCGAACTCAAGACCAACGCTCTACCAATTGAGCTACCTGATTGCCCTTGATCAATGGAAAAGAAAGGGAAGACTAAGAAATGAGGGCAACATAAAAATGATGCATATTAGAGGATTTGAATTATCACCCTACCATCTTTGTCTCTTAATTCCTTATTATAACAAGAGTTGACACAACTGGGTAAAAGATAGTACTAATATTTTACCCAGCCTTCTCTGCCCCGGCTGGCGACCCATATTATATAAAAAAAAAAACTCTCGTCGCCATGAGAAAGCTACGTTATCGGAGCTAGGTAACAGAATGAAGGGCCAATGATTGTCTCATCTCTGTTCGTACAGTCGAGTTGTGCAATTGATTAATCAATGTGTCCCCCTGGTAAAATACTAGTGGCTTCCTATCGATTCAGGTCAGGGAAAATTTCTTGTTCTAAGCTCATTCGGTAGAGCGTAAGACTAAGTAAGTCAGAGGTCCCCGGTTCGACTCCTAGCGGAGGCATTGTTAAAATAATGACCTCTGTTACATGTGTACTTGACTTTCACCAATCAGACATGAAAATGTGTAACAGGAGAGGGGAAAATGCAATTTAAAAACACTTTTTTACAGGAAGGAAATTTTGAGTCAACAAAATATCACTTGAAAAATCATTTAACTATTCACAAAATATTTTAATTTCCGCTACGGTTATCAATAAAGAGTATTATTACTGTTTGGGAATGAAAATCTGGCTTTGGATACAAATTGTGATATATTCAAACAAGTGCAAACTTTTATTAGATCCAGTGGAAGATTTAAACATGTTTCGATTATCATGATTGACATGAACTTGACTTTGATATATGTTTTTTTGTTTGTTTGTATGTGTATGTGTTACTTTAAAAATCGCTTCATACTACTATGAATTGTAATTGACAGTCTATATCATCATCTGTTGTTTTGAATTATTATTGTAAGGAGATGGCTTCATAAGTTGTAATAACTTGTGCCAAATCCTATTTTCCAATTCTGGTTAATAAAATATGTTTAAAGACAATAAAGACTAATTATACAGTACAGTTGTTACGACTGATCCGTCCGCCATAGACAACGATCCGTTACTACCGTAACTACTGTACTGAAACACCTACAGATGTATACGTTCCTAAACGTTATTGGAAACAACGAAAATGAAAGTAGTGGATAGCTTTATACTACCTACATACTGAAACAGTTACGTATACGTTACAACTTGTCTTACCTGGAGTAACATGGTCATCTCCAGTATCTGTCTGTACATCAGCACCCGGGAATAACTGCTGTGATTGTTCATTTTCTTTAGGTTGGTCTAATATCGGGAAAAGCGGCATTTCACATCGCCAACAACTAACGTTCGAGATAAAAAGGGAGATAACGCCTAAATCTTTGCCGTACAATCTAAATGTTAACAGAAGATAAATTCGGACCAAATATCCGGAAACAACCCAGCATTGTGATAATTTTCTATTTTTTATGATGTGGTTCATCTTTTCAGTTAAAATAAGATTCACCATTAAACGACAATACCAGGAGTACATTTATATGTGTCTGCCAACAATGTTTTCTCTCTCGATTGAATCCGATCTAAAATCAGCACAGAGCCTACGTAAGTCGAAGGCAACGGACTTAGATAATTCCGTGCTAAAACAAACAAAATGTCTTCATGGTAAAGTCATTCTAGCGAACTGTTTTAGGATCTGTAAAGATAGCAATTAAATAAAACTGAATATTTCCTTATCAAATCATTTTGTTGAAAAGTTCCTGATCGATCCATCAATTTCAACATTTCCAGTTTTAAAAAAGAGTTGAGTTATTTTTCACTTATATTACGCATCTATTTATAATATTACCCCTTCATTGTAAAGGCTTAACAGGCGATGAATAAAGATAATACAATTAGTTGTTTACAGATAAGCATACTGTGTAAAAACTAGATTCAAGTTTATAACAACTGACAATTTCTGTGACCTGTAATTAGACTACAAGTTGCATTAAGTCAATACAGTGACTTTTATAAACACAACTTACCAGAAGTGAAATTAAATATCTATCACGACTATAAGATGCTGTTGAAGTTTTCATAATATTTGACCTCTGCATGACAGTGCGCCGATATCATATGCAAATATCATTCACTTACGAAGATTAATTGTACCTCACCCCTCTGACACTAGACAATTTAATGAAACTTAAGAAGTTGATTTTATAAACGTTTTGCCAATAATAGGCTATGTGATGGCATTTGACCAGGGGCCCAAGTAGGTGCTCAAAGAAAAACGTTTTAAATTGTACCTCAACATTTGTTTGTTTGTTTGTTTGTTTGTTTATGTTTAACGGCCCATCGACGGCTGTGGTCATTTAGGGCCATGGTGATTTATTTATTTATTTTACTTTTTTAACAAACATGTGAATAGCGAAGATAAAATCAGATAAAATGGTTCATTTTAAAAGTATTCGCATTGTATGTGTAGATAATTAAAAATAATAAAAGGGGGTTAAAATAATAAAAGAGATAACGAATAGATGATATGGAATATGCGATATATATATAACGTCAAAAATGATAAGGTGGGTTAAAAGACATCAGAGTCTATAAAATAGACCGATGTCTTTCAAATAGTTAAATAATGCCTTCGAATCCACGGAACTGAAAAGTGTTTTCATATCCGGGACTCGGAAGTAGTTATCACGAATGTGTTTAAAATCGGAACATTCTATTAAAAAATGCTCCACTGTAAATGGAGTGTCACATGCGTGGCATGAAGGTATATCTTCTCGTTTTAAAAGGTACGAATGAGTAGGATATGTGTGCCCAGTGCGGAGCCGAGCGAGGACAACTTCCTCTCTACGATCTTTCCGACTGGGAATAGATGTTTTAAGTTTCGGTTGTATCTTAAAAAGTTTGTTGTTGGTCTCCAGAGACCAGCGTTTCTGCCATTCATTTTGAATGGCTGTACGAATAGTAGGTTTAAAATCTGTGTATGGTAGTTTGATATTTGTTTGTTCGAGATTCAATGCATTTTTTGCTTCCCTGTCAGCAAATTCGTTGCCTTTTATTCCGACATGGCTCGGAATCCATAGTAAAGTTATTTTAGACTTTTTTAATATACGAGATATTCGATGAGCAAGGTTTTGTACGATTGTGTTTTTAGGATCTCGTAACTGTAAACTCTGTAGGACAGATAGAGAGTCTGAACAAATAATTGCCTTTTTAATGCGGTGTTCATCGATATGGTCGAGGGCCAAACCAATGGCGCATGCTTCAGCAGAAAAGATGGAGGCGCCGTCTGGTAGTCGGACTGAAGTGCAAGTATTGGCAGTACAGCAGGCTGCTGCCACTTTCTCACCTTCTTTGGAGCCATCGGTGTAAAGTTGTGTATGAGAAGGGTAATTCGAAATGCATTCCCGAAAGGAGGATTTGTGTTCTTCGGGCATAACACTTGATTTCCCTCGCTCATGTAATGTAAAGTTAAAATCGGGGGTTTGAATGGTCCACGGAGGAACATCAGATATGTTAAATTCAGCTATGTCCGTCAATTTTATGTTGAGTTCTTGCAGGAAATTCAAAATTCGGATACCAAATGTTGGCAGAAGTTTTTGGTTTTGCGTAAATATGTTTTGGTATTTGGGGTTGAATACTTGGTTGAAAGCAGGATTTTTAGGGTTTGATTTTAATTGAGTTGCAAATTGTAATGAAAGTTTTATTCTTCTGTCATAAAGGGATGGTTCATTTGCTTCCACGTACAGGCTTTTTACAGGTGTTGTTCGAAAAGCTCCCAGGGCAAGACGTAGCCCTTGGTTATGGATTGGATCTAGCATCTGAAGGTACGAACTGCGCGCTGACCCGTATACCATAGAACCATAATCCAGTTTTGTTCGAATAAGTGATCTGTATAGGCGCAAAAGCATTTCACGATCCGCTCCCCAATCAGTATGAGAAAGGACTCGTATAATGTTTAACGCCTTGGAACACTTATCCTTCAGATACTTTATATGTGGTATGAAAGAGAGTTTCGAATCAAAAATGAGGCCGAGAAATTTAGTCTGTTCAACAACAGGAATTCTAGTGCCATCGAGTGTTAGATTTGGGTCATTGTGTGCTTTTCGTTTTTGACAGAAATGCATGCACACAGTTTTGGATTTAGAGAATTTGAAGCCGTTTTCGTCTGCCCAATTTTGTAGTTTGTTTAAACTCTGTTGAAGTTGTCGTTCTATCGTGTGCATGTTCTTAGATCTGTAACAGATCAAGAAGTCATCCACAAATAACGACCCTTCTGTTGATTGACCAAGACATTTGACTATATCATT